AAAAACCATTGGGTTTTTCATGTTTTTATGTTAAAATCGCTACGAAAACTAAGGTTTTGGAAGGATTTCATCTTGCGCGCGCGAGTGTGCACTTCGTGTCATTTTTTGCAAAGGATTCTTGACAGTTTGGTTATGTTAGAACAAGACATGTCATTTTATATTGTTTTTTGACAGGGAAAGCGGGCGTCAACAAAACAACCGGATCCGGACTCCCCCGTTTTGCCTGAGACTTCCCCACGAAAATGATGAAAATGTGGCTGCGGCCTAGGCGCGGCGAGGGGGGCGTGCACCAGGGGGCCCAACAATAATTATTCTTTAGAAGTAATAATATTCAACAACAACAACACCATCAACAACAGCAACAACTATCATTGTAAAACTGTTCGCTCTTATCTGCTCGAGCGTACTGCAACGCGTATTTCCCAAACCCTCGATACCCGCCCTCTTGGTCCTCGATCGTACCCTTTTGGGGGGGTCTATGTGTTCCCCTTGAAGGTCGGGCCCCGGCAAGCGGTGGGGCGGCCGCGGACCGTCGGCCTGGCCAGCGGCAGCGCTGATCGGCGGCTACCCGACCCCAAGAGGGACGGACAGGGGGTCGACCACGACGACGGCGACGACGACGACGACGTTGACGCCGACGCCGACGCCGACGAGCAAAAGCGAGAGCTAGAGCGAGAGGCAGAGCGACGGCGGGGCCACGAAGGGCAGGAAGGGGACCACGAAGGGCGACAGCGGGGCCACGAAGGGCATGCGTATGGGGCCACGCCGGGTGCGAACGAGCGGGGCAAATGAAGGGCAGATAATGCGGGGCCACAGAAGGCAACGACGGGGCCACCGAGGGTAGCAACGGGGCCACGTAGGACAGCGAGGGGTCCACAAAGGGCGACAGCGGGGCCACGAAGAGCATGCATATGGGGCCACCCCGGGTGCGAACGAGCAGTGCAAACGAAGGGCAGATGTAGATTGGGCTACGAAAAGCGACGGGGCCACTGAGGGCAGCGACGGGGCCACGAAAAGCGACAACGGGGCAAACAAGAGCCTGCATATGGGGCCACGACGGGCGCGAACGAGCGGGGGCCACGAAGGGCATACATGGGGCCGCGGAGGGCAGCGAGTGGGCCACGAAGGGCTGCAACGGAGCCACGAAGGGCAGCGGGGGGGCCACGAAGGGCGACAGCGGGGCCACGGACCGGATGCATACGGGGCCACGAAGAGGCGCGAACGAGCGGTAGCCACGAAGGGCATGCATAGATGGGGCCACGAAGGGCGGCGAGGGGGCCATGAAGAGCTGCAACGGGGACGCGTAGGGCAGCGAGGGGGCCACGAGGGGCTGCAACGGGGCCACGATGAGCAGCGATGGGGGCCGCGAAGGGCTGCAACGGGGCGACGAGCTGCAGCGCGGGGGCCACGAAAGGATGCAACGGGGCCACGAAGGGCAGCGAGGGGGCCACGAAAGGCTGCAACGGGGCTCTGAACTGCAGCGATGGGGCCACGAAGGGCTGCAACGGGGCAGCGAAGGGCAGCGATGGGGCCACGAAAGGATGCAACGGGGCCACGAAGGGCAGCGAGGGGGCCACGAAGGGCTGCAGCGGAGGGCAGCGAAGGGGAGGGCAGGACGCCAGGGGGCCACGAAGGGCTGCAACGGGGCCACGAAGGGCAGCGAGAGGACCACGAAGGGCTGCAGCGGGGCAACGAACTGCAGCGAGGGCAGCGAGGGGGCCACGAAGGGCTAGAACGGGGCCACGAAGGGCAGCGAGGGGGCCACGAAGGGCTGCAACGGTGCCACGAAGGGCAGCGAGGGGCCCACGAAGGGCTGCAGCGGGGCCTCGAAGGGCAGCGAGGGCAGCGAGGGGGCCACGAAGGGCTGCAACGGGGCCACGAAGGACAGCCAGGGGGCCACGAAGGGCTGCAACGGGGCCACGAAGGGCAGCGAGAGGACCACGAAGGGCTGCAGCGGGGCAACGAACTGCAGCGAGGGCAGCGAGGGGGCCACGAAAGAACGGGGCCACGAAGGGCAGCGAGGGGGCCACGAAGGGCTGCAACGGGGCCACGAAGGGCAGCGAGGGGCCCACGAAGGGCTGCAGCGGGGCCTCGAAGGGCAGCGAGGGCAGCGAGGGGGCCACGAAGGGCTACAACGAGGCCACAAAGGGCAGCCAGGGGGCCACGAAGGGCTGCAACGGGGCCACGAAGGGCAGCGATGGGGGCCACGAAGGGCTGCAACGGGGACGCAGGGCAGCGAGGGCGCAACAAACGGTTGCAACTGGTCCACGAAGGGCGGCATTGGGGCCGCAGCGAGGGGGCCACAAAGGGCTGCAACGGGGTCACAAAAGGCAGCGAGGGGACCACGAAGGGCTGCAACGGGGCCACGAAGGGCAGCGAGAGGACCACGAAGGGCTACAGCGGGCCCACGAAGGGCAGCGAGGGGACCACGAAGGGCTGCAGCGGGGCCACGAACTGCAGCGAGGGGGCCATGAAGGGCTGCAAAGGGTCCACGAAGGGC